TAGTCCCCATGCAGATCATATGGCTTATTTGCTTATTTTTCCAGATCTATGTTTACTAAAAATAGGTTAAAACTGCCTTTTTATCTTTTTTTATATAAAAAAATTTATTATTTTTTTTCATCAACATATATTAATTTTTCCAATCAACAAGGTGTCTGGAGTTTGCTATGCTAATACATGTTCAATTCCTAATCCTTCATTCTCTTCTCTAACCAAGAATAAAATAAATTCCAAATTTGATAGTAGTCTGTATCTTCTTTATCTTTCAACTTCATAATTAATCTGTCCATCTCTGCACATTCCAATATTTTCCTGATTATTTCTTCCTCTGATGGCAGTCCTTCATTCTTCCAGTATTGTGCAAAAATTATTCTCGCTGCTGTAGTGATGAGTAAAATTAAATATAGTTTCTGCTTATTAGTCTTTTCAGGCATAATGCCTAGTAAAAAAAAAATCAGGTTTAAAAACCACTTGTTCGCCCAATATTTTTTCTAACCACATATGTATATTTTTCCAAGAGGCCTTTGTCTTATCACATGTCCACCAAATGTGGTAATACGTGCCTATGTTATGTTTACATTTTCAACATCTATCTGACATATTTTTAAACATTTTTGCTAATCTTGCTGGTGGAAGGTGCCATCTATAAAACATTTTATACAGATTTTCTTTGTATGAAGTTGACATTGTTAATTTACAGTTTCTCTGTAACATTTGCCATTTTTCTAATTCTATATTATAACCAAAAATTTTTGCCCATCTTATCATTGTTTCTTTCACTTGTTCACTTTCCATATCTAAAATTAACAAAAAGTTATACATTTTCTTAATTAATTTCTCATCTGAAGTTAACAAAATCTTATCAAACACAGTTTGATCCTTGTAAAATCCATACATTTTTACATCTTTTTCATATCTACTTTGTATCTGTAAATGTGCGCACCAGGACAGGTTAATTCCCTGATTTTCCAATTCTTGTTTAGATTTTAATTTCCCATCAATATCTAAAATATCTTTATATGTCTATATTTTTTCAAAGTCTACCAAGTTTGGATGCCTTTTTATCTTTGCAGACCCACTTTCTGGCCATTCAACAAGATAATAGTGAGATAGGCCAGAGAAAATTATTGTGGTGGTGGCAGAGGAATTTTAAACTGCTTGAATTTAAACTGAACAGTCTCATTTTCCCCTTTTTAAGACGACTTTGTTTGATTTTATAATAAAGGGAAGCAGCTCTCCTAGTGCACCCCAGTGACTCTTTCACACACAATTCCTCCAGAGATGGTCCCTCCATTGCAATATAAGGTAGAAAGTTCTGTCCCTTGATATATAGTTATAAAAATACACAGATAATAGTAGATGTTGATGCTAAAGAAATTAATTTGATGTTGAATTTAATAACAGCAGCAAGGCTGCTGGTAGGGCAATATTAGAAGAAGGATTGTTTGCCTACTTTAGAAGAATGGATGCTTAAAGTGTCAAACTTAGCAGAAATGGCTAAGATTTCTGCTTATTTGAAGGATTATTCACAAGAAAGATACATTTCAGTTTGGAGAAAATGGATAGATTATATTCAGAATAAATATGGGACTAAAAAGTTCCATTTATTTTATGAATAAATTTTAGAGTATTATTACTGTTATTATTATTATTATTATTATCATTAATAGTTTAGTATAGTGGAAATTTTATGATATTGTGTTGTTTAGATATTAGGATTTTAATTTGTTTATATGATTAGGTTTATTCTTAAATTGTTTACTTTGTATTAAAAGAGAGTTAAAGCGCATTATATTTGTTTATCTATATAGTTGGTTAATGTTAGTTAGATTATGATTATTATATTTATTACCCTGTATTCAGCTCTGGGAAGTGGGGGAGGGGGGGAGGGGGGTGGGTTTGGGATATATTTTGTAATTTTTTGTAAAACTTTTCAATAAAAAAAATACACAGATAATGCAAATTCTTCCCTGTTGTTCACCTTTCTCCTTACTTTTTCTGCCTTTTACCCCATTTTAAAAATTAACTTGGGATTTTCTGAAGCTTAATAATAAAATCAAGCTATGTTTTCGCAAGTGGTGTTTCTTCTTGCTATGGTCTGCATATTTTATTAAATTTGTGTATCTTTAAATTTAGCAGGGAGCATGAAGGCTCAGCGGTTAAAGATGCTGAACATGTCAGCTGGAAAGCTGACAGCCCAAGTTTGAGACCCAAGTGCTGTGTGATTCCTTGCCCCAGCTCCTGTCCATTTAGCAGCTCGAAAGCCTGCAAATGCAAGTAGATAAATGGGTACCACTTTGGTGGGAAAATAACAGTGTTCTGTGCACCTCGGCATATAGCCATGCTGGGCATGTGACCACGAAAACGTCTCCGGACAACGCTGACTCCCTTGGCTAAGAAACAGAAATGAGCACTGCCTCCTAAAATCGGACATGACTGGAATAGGGGAAACCTTTACCTTTTATCCTTAAATTTAATATTTATATATTTTATTTATTATTTTTAATTAACTGTTAAGTATTATTTATTTATTTATTTAATGGAAAGAGAATGGAATGGGAACATGCTGTATTCAAACTAAACCAGAGATCCAGTGTAATTTTCCAGCAGTAGGATCTGTCATCCCTACATCCATTCCTGGAAGGATGCTCAGTCTTGCTTTAATATTCTTCACATAGGCATTTTGAAAACACGCGGCCTTCGGAACAGAACAGGACGATTGCTGCCACTTTCTGCATGCTTAGGAAGGTCTTTCTTGAAATGTATTTAAGAGAAAAGGAAAGGGGACAATCTCTGACCCCAGGATTTTAAAAAGAACATTTCCCACTCCTGCAATTATTAAAGTTTTCTCCAAGGCTTCTGTTTATCCTGTCTGTTTGCTACACCCACTGATCTCCCCATCATTCCATTCTGAAGTTTTATTGGCATCATGCAATTCTGTTTCATTACTAAATATCAAGTTGAAATGACCAGGCCTATCCTGAGCTTGCTGAATTGAGCCATCATTCCCTTTTTTTCATCCTTACACTATTGTTATTACTACTTTTCATTTTTAAAATATAATTTGGAGTTTTACATTCCATTTTATTGCTCTCGGTTTTTACAATCAAAGCCAGTGTGAAATGGCTCTCAGTATCTGTGGTTCCCCATCCCTGTGGTCAATATTTTGTGGCAGAAGGCCACCTTTGTCTTGGCATGGCAAACTGAGGTCCATATTCATCAAAGTGGCCATGTCCATGCTAAAGAAATGGAAAAACCAAGATCAAGCATACATTTGAGCTAGCTTTATGTAGTGGGATAAACACATGTCTATCATCCATCAAAAATTAAATACATAAATAGCATCAGCACTAGCAATAGCACTTAGACTTATATACCACCCCATAATGTTTTAGAGCAGAGGCCCCCAACCTTTTAGGCACCAGGGACCGGTTCTGTGGGGAGAGGTTTTTGCACGGACCAGAGAGGGCATGGTTTTTCATGTACTGCCTGCATCCCATGGATGGGGCTTCACTTGTTTGCATGGCCTGGTTTCTGGCATGCCGTGGTCTGGTGCCGGTCCACAGAGTGGGAGATGGGGACCTCTGTTTTACAGTGCTCTCTAAGCAGTTTACAAAGTCAGCTTATTGTCTCCCAACAATCTGGGTCCTCATTTTACCAACCTCGAAAGGATGGGAAGCTGAGTCAACTTTGAGCCCATCAGGATCGAACTCCTGGCAGTGAGTAAAGTTAGCCTGCAATACTGCATTCTAACTACTGCATCACCAGGCACTATTTATTTCAAATAAATGAATAAATAAATAAATAAACAAAACAAAACAATTATAATTAATTAATTTAAAAAAAAAAACTTCACCAGGCACTGGATGGACCATTGGGTCTTTTTCTCCCATGTTTCTATATAAACTACAGATTACCCCTCATGCATCAATTTGGTTTTTTTCACTTCCATGATATAACACATAATTAACAAGTTTAAATATACTACAACAAGGCTTCTGAGAGCAGAAATTGTGTTTTCCCTACTGTTAATTTATGCATCAATTGATAAGTTATTTGAAATAGAAACCTGTGTGTCAGGGTCTGGGTCAATGAATGCCTCTGTATCTAAGTGCCGGCAAACTGATGCATTCTGAAAAGCTTTTCACATGTTTTCAGTTTAAACTTAAACCTTCTCAATTTAACCCCGAATTTCTATCATTTGAACATCCTGTTCTATCATCCCTAATCTGTCTTATTAGACATCTTCCCCTTGAGCTGTGTTATGTGGGTCTAGGACAGTACAATTTCCTTCCTTTCAGAGAATCCCTTTTATCTTGCTTTATTTCATTAAACCCTTGGCAGAATCACTATTTGTTTCAGTTAACACTTCGGAAATGTCCGTCAAAGTGTCTTCAAAAGCCAAATTGTTATGTATCCATATGTTGTGGCTGCAACACAAGCTGTGAACCATTATATGAATGTCCAGATGGCCTCACAGTTCTCAGAGGTTGAGTTCCACCTGGGTTTCTATAATCTGTTTGGAAGTGCTTTATGTTTTAAATTAATTAAATGTGTTCAGCCCTCCCAAAATATGTGTGGTTGGATGCTTAGCTTTCTAAAAATAATAGTGTTTTTTTCCAGAAACCAAAATAAAATATTGTCATTATTTTTTTCTGGATACATGATTCTCCTGTTTTTATATCTCACAGAATGACTTTAGCTGGCTACCATCTCTCTGAGAAATTTAATATAACATAGCCTGACAAGAGCAGCACTGTATTTGTTCTTTTGTTTTTCCAAAATTAGACTAAATATTTTTGCAAAGGAATAAAATAACTTTCAGGATTTCTTGCCATGAACAATTTTTTATCAGGTTTTTTGTCTATTTACCTTTTTCTGAGGCTTACAAATGTTCATTTCTGCAATTTCATCTTGTCATGAAGTTTTTAGGCCTTTATTAATTAAAAAAAAAACCCAAATGGAAAATACTCATAAATCTTTTCTTTCCTGTTTCAGAAGCATAAAAGAAGAAACAATCCACTCTTAACCCAGGCTTAAGAGAAGCCAATCTCAGTATTGATTGAAACGCTCTTAAAGTGTAAGTAATTTCTTGAGTTGTTCCAAATATCCTTTTTTTTTTCCTCCCAAGAAGACTGAGTGAGCAAGAGAGCGATAATCACTGTCATTCAGCTTACCAAAATGAAACTTCAAAATAAATCTCTAAAAATGACATCAGTTCAAGTAATCAAGCAAAACCACTAAACATTAAATCAGAGCAAAGGCCTCTGATCAGAAATATATTCAAGTCCAAAATCTTCTCTACAGAGTTAAATTTGATGGACTGAGTCACAATTCAATATGTACTTACAGACCGAAAGCTCTTTCCCAGTCATCTCCAGAGTAAGTCTGCCTAGGGCAAAGCCATATACCAGATTTGAAGTGGAGGAGCTCCTATCTTCCCAGTTGACCATTAGGCATGTACCTGGCCAGGTTTATGAGTGCGTATTATGCTGATTTTAGGACAGTGAACAAACCAACGTTTACAATTAATTGCTAACTTTATACCTGTTTTGATCATTCATGTACACTAAGCTTTCCTGTTTTCACTTTCTAAAGACACTTAGATTCAGTCTTCATTTCTAAATTAGTCAGACACTTAGGCTTATTTACAAAAGAGAAAACTGAGCCCTAAGAGGCATATTTTCAAGGAGAGATGATAGAGATGGAGACGGAGATGGAGACAGAGACAGAGAAAGAGACAGATAGAGATGGAGGGAAAGACAGGAGACGGGAGACGGGGATGGAGATAGAGACAGCCAGACAGACCAATAGGATTGTATAGAGGTCAGCAAGAGCCAGTCTATGATAGTGCTTAAGGCATTGGGCTAGAAACCAGGAGACCATGATTTCTAGTCCCACCTCAGACACAAAGTCAGTTAAGTGACCTTGGGCCATTTTTCTCAACCCTAGGAAGGTGGCAATGGCAAACCACTTCTAAAATCCTACAAAAAAAAAAAAAAATCCTTCTGGGACTTGTACAGGCAAACGTGAGGAATCAACAATGACTCAAAAGCATGTTTGTGTGTGTGATTGTGCACACACACACACACACACAAACACACACACAAAACTCAGAACTATACTGTGATTCACATGCACTGGAATGGTCAGGTAACCCATATATCAAAAGATTCTACATTGTGTTGGAGTGGCATAGTTTGCTGGGAATTCTGAAGTTAGTTTAGGGCCTACAAAAATGAGAAAAAAATATATAGAACAAAAAATGTGTAATTCATCCAAGTTGCTTTAGTGACGAGTTAAATCCAAGTTCTTTTCAGCTTCTGTTCCAAGGCCAAACCTCTCTGGCAGATTTAGAGCACAGTTTGTTTTAAGATGTATGGCATCACCCTTTCGTTCTCTAATATAAACTCCAGATAAAAGCAGTCAGGTGACAGCATGCTTACAACAATTCTGTGCCAAGCAAATTATTCCCTTTAAATTAGAAAGGCAAGAGAACATCCCCTGCTTTAACAGAGATCAGTCACCTTATCAAGGCGAAGGCAGAGCCAACAATGGCAAGCTTGTGGATTCCCCAAAGGATGAAAGAGAACTGCTTGTTATTGGTTAATGTCTCTTTATAATCTCACTTTACTCATGTAATTAAAAATAATTTTCTGCCAGTGGCAAAACACATCAAGAGCTGGAAACGAACACAATTCAGAATGGATTCATTTTCAATCTGCTTCCGCAGAAATCTTTGTATATCTACAGATAGGCTTCTTGATCATTTGAAAGCAAGATAACAATGAAAAATTTTCCTTCAGGTTGCAGTCTTCTTCCTAATGAGTTAAACAGCAGCTGCCTCACAAAGGATCCAACACAAAAGGAGATGTTACAAACATGCAAACTTGACACTCAGTTTTGGCCTTCACCTTTACCAGTGGTGGGATTCAGCCAGTTCTCCCCAGTTTGGTAGAACTGGTAGCTATTTTTTTGTTGCCAAGTCCAGAATGGACTTTCAGAAGTGGCATACACACAGAGAACCGGTTGTTCACATATTTGAATCCCATCACTGATCTTTACTAAATCTGTTCATTCATATAGCTTTTTCCATTCTGGGGCATAGCTCCCAGAATCCCTAACCAGAAATATTGACTAGTTATTCTGGGATCCCACAGCTCTAGAGGACATGAATTTGAGGAAGACTGTAATTCTTTCCTGCTGTAGAGGTGAATTCAGCAGGAATTCAAAATAAAGGATGTGTTCCTGAACATAAAGTTATTATTTATTATATTTTTATCCTGCCCTTACTGCTTTATAAGTAGCTTGTAAATAAGGCAGGAAACATAGCTAATACTCTCTCCTCCTATTTTTCCCACAACAACTCTGTGAGCTGAATTGGGCTGAGAAAGAGTGACTGGCCTAAAGTCACCCAGCTGGCTTTTAATTCCTAAAGTGGAATTAGAATTCATAGTCACCTGGTTTTCATGCCTAAGGTGGCACTAGAATTCACAGCCCCTTGCTTTCTAGGCCAGCACCTTAACCTCTAGACCAGACTGAATGCTAAGGATGAATTAACAGAACATAAAAAATAATAAAATAGAATCAGATATACTCGAAATGTAGTTTTCTTTGATGCACAGTCCTGGTTATCAATGAATCCTCACACATAATTTATATATTAAGTAAAAAGTGCATTAATTGGGAAACACATCAAGACAGAAAACCTTCATTTCTACCCAAGTTACATCTTGAAGAGAGGAAAGTACATATAGCAATAGCACTTAGACTTATATACCACTTCACAGTGCTTTACAGTCCTCTTTTACAAAGTCAGCCTATGGCCCCCAACAATCTGGGTCCTCATTTTACCAACCTTGGAAGAATGAAACCTTGAGTTGGTCAGGATCAAACTGCAATACTGTATTCTAACCACTGTGCCCCCATGATGCAGTGAATATGAAGTTCCCTTTCATCTCTTGAATACAAAGATTCATTTTATTAACAAAAGGCCACCATTTCATAGACCAAATTCTTAACAAGAGAAACACCCTGTCACAAGGACAGCTCTCATTTGCTCCAGGACTCGCATAGGCTCATAAGCTGTTTTTTTTAATGTTTTCTCTAGTTTTTGTTCACAGACCCAGAGTCCATTTAAAGTTTTGTTTACAATCCAGAGTCCATTTAAAAATAAATGAAAATCAAGACAAATTGAGGTTAGAGATTCCAATAATTTTAACCATAGTGCTGAGGATTCCCTGTTGGGATTTCAGGCAGAGATGCCAAAGAGAAAGGAACAGGACAGGTACCCATCTTTCCCTAGCTCAGAACTGCCTAGTTTTAAAAATGTCTGATGATTAAGAAAATATCATGTATTCAAAGCTTTTTGAACACAATATTATACAACTGTTCCTGTACAATAAAAGAGCATGTTTGTAGCGCAGGGTTGAAATGAGAGCTCCTTGGTGCTCTCTGAGCTTGATTGTTTCCTTGCAGATGTTTCATTACCCAAAATAATCCTAGCACTGATGATGTTATCTGGTCTCAGTAGGGGAAACATCTGCAAGAAAGCAACCAAACTCAGTGGGCACCAAAGGCCCCTCAACTCTTTCTGTTTTTGAATAGGCTCCTTGCATGCTTGTTTCCCTGGAATACACCACTTCTGTAAACAATATGGGCCTAGTAGGGACATCTGCTTGTCTCTGAATAGAAAGAGAATTAGTCTTCAGGGCAGACATTGTAAAACCACCAAAGAGATACAGGAAGAGTAAATTAGCATTGGAAAAAAAAAACATTTTGCAAATGACTGGGTAGGAACGCTCAGTATGAGAATAACCATGTTCAGATTATTGTTGTTGATGATAATATTATCTAATCAGCCAACAAATACCACAGTGCTTTAGATTGGGTATTTTCCTGTGGTTCACATTCTAATCAAGAACCAAGGAATTACAGAAGCAGTACTGAAAATTGAAAACTCCCAAATAATGGGAGACTTTAGTATGGCTCCAAGAGTTCCAAACAGTATTGATATTACAGCTGATGATTTGTCTTCCAAAATCCATCAACTTCAAAGTGTGCATCTTGATATTTTGGTACCTTTTCCATTTGTTTTTCATCCATTTATCCTCTGTTATTGCTAATATCTATGAACAGCACTTTTTTTTCAGTAGCAGTAATGTCTCTGCATTTTAAAATCCCACAGAATCTTGATCTCCTTATTCGCTAATGTGGGCATCCCAATTTGGGTGATCCTGATACTTTTTGTTAACTGTAAAGCCATACTTTTATTCAATATTTTAATTAAAGATTGTATTATGCAAATAAAACTTATAGAACTATGTGAAACAGAAATACATTTAAACAAATAAAAAAATAACACATGCAAAAAAAAATTAAAAGAGAAAATGGGAAAGGAAAAAAATAGACAAATAAGCCTCTTCTTTTATGCCCAGCAAATATAATTAACATAAACAAATTGTCACTATCTCTTAAAATACAACCAAACACCTCCTAATTCCATACCTCACCCCATGTTTATAAACCTGTCTCTAGTACTGCACAAGTCTCCATTAAACAGTAAAAATCCAGAAAGGGTTATCAGAAATAACAATCTGTAAAGATTACAAATTATATCGATGACTGAATCCTCCTCTACATTATAACAAATTCACCCCTATTCCCTCTCTTCAAATATTCAAAGTTCAGTCTCTCTCAAAAAGAAGTTAAACATTACCAGAAATAGCAATCAATTGTTTTAACCTTGGACAAATAAACCAACATTGTATTCTTTATATAGATAGACAGACAGACAGACATAGATATAGATATAGATATAGATATAGATATAGATATAGATATAGATATAGATAGATATAGATAGAGGGTTTTTTTTGTCATAGAACGCCCAGAACAGAGTTCTGGCACCTTTTTGTAGGGTAGGCAAGGCGGGTTTTATGATGTGTGTGAGTTCCGGCACCTTTTTTTTTTTTTTTTTACAAAAAAGCACTGGATAGATAGATAGATAGATAGATAGATAGATAGATAGATAGATAGATAGATAGATAGATAGATAGATAGATAGATAGATAGATAGATGATAGATAGATAGATAGATAGATAGATAGATAGATAGATAGATAGATAGATAGATAGATAGATAATTTTTAAATATTCACCCAGTTTCATTTGTAAATTCATTCTGTTTCTTGAAGGCTATGGTTTTTAAATTGAACTGTAAGTCAATTTCAGTTTTATTCAGTGATCCTTGTTCGTCTTCAATAATGTTGATACTAATTCTGATTCCACTATAGAATTAAATCATTTGAAAACTTCCTGCACCTATTCAACATTTACTGTATTTTAAGATAGCCTTCTAGTGCCCTCTAGTGTTCAATCTTCAACATCATTTTATCAGTCTCCAAGTATAAACAAAGGAATTTTGTCAGGAGAAAATATCCATCCTTTCAATTAACTTCAAAGTCTTAAATCAAGTCTGTCTGAGCCCCTAATCCATTTAAAACTTTCTAAAGGCAACAGTAATAATCTTTAATCACATTTTTCCTATATATTCTGAAAAGAAAGTTGTTACAAAACTTTAATTTTCTTTTTCAACAGTTTGAAGAACTCACCAAGCAAATACAAGCAGACTTGCAGTTCTGAAGATTTTCTTTAACATTCAGTAATAGCAAAAAAAAAAAAAAAAAGTAAACTCCAAAGTGATTAAATGAAGTCCATAAAAGGTTACATTGAGAACTCTGAGTTTGGTAGAATTCTACAACTTCCATCTGTCTGCAAAAGACTGCTAAATGCTATCTTCTCACAAAAAAAGAAAAGAAAACATAATGAAAAACAGATGTTCAGAGTATATATGTATAATCTCCAGATCTCTCCTTGCTCTGGAGTGAATTCTGGGTAGCCCAGATCCAGTATAGAGCTGCCATTCAGCCATAGTATCTCCTGCTTGCCATTTCTCACTGAAGGCAGCAGCCAGTAAAGCTACATTTTTTACATAAATTTCAGCACACAATTTTTGGAACTCTGTCTTGGCATTCTTTATACCCAGTATAGGCAATTTTGCTACAATTATTAATGAAGTCATCCACAGTTTCATCTTTCATAATCAAAATTATGCTGTCATTTGAAATATGTTCAGTTGTGGCTTTGATTCTCTTTGTTCACATAGTTTTATTCTTCAGAATTCCAATTTTCAGTCAATACCAAATGAATTTATTTATTTATTTGTAATAGTTCTACACTTGGTAGCTTATAAATCAAATAACAAAAAGAAAAACAACCATGTTGAGGCTAAAGAAATCAAAATATTCATAAAAATAAAAATGGAAGCACACTAGCCCCCACATAAAAATTCAGGAAGAGAGGGAGATAAAGTAAGAAAGTAAGAAAGAGAGGAGGGAGGGGGGAAGGAAGGAAGGAAGGAAGGAAGGAAGGAAGGAAGGAAGGAAGGAAGGAAGGAAGGAAGGAAGGAAGGAAGTGTGGGAAGTCAGCTCCCCAGAGAAGGAAATATTAAAAGGGCAGAAAAATATATTTCCTCAAAAGGATTTTTAAAAGCAGAAGCCAACCCTGCCCGCAAGTCTCTCTGCCCCAAGCAGGAGCCAGACCTATACAAATGCAGATGTAACCATCAGAAAGTTGGAGCCAGAAACTCAAGAAGACAAAGACCTAAAATCTGCATACCCCACCTGAGATGGGACATAATAAGACTAACTCATCACCATCAAGAATACCAGAGAATTTTGTTTGTGTGCCCCCTAAACTCAGGTCAGAATACGTGACACAGGAAATAGCCTCAAAGTTCATGCCACAGGAACAGGAAACTATTCCAAACAAAAGGCTTTCAGAGGGTATAAAAACCTACTCCACATGTGCTCAGCCCTTGATTTCTCTCCTCCTTCCTGCCAGAACCATCTTTCAGTCTAGCTCTTCAATAAACTGCAGCCTTCTTCCCAAAGCAGTCACCATGTTGTTTATTTATCCCCGGCTTGGATGAACCAGCATGAAGACTTTTCTTTCAATAGAAGAAAGAAAGAAAGAGAGAGAGAGAGAGAGAGAGAGAGGGAGGGAGGGAGGGAGGGAGGGAGGGAGGAAGGAAGGAAGGAAGGAAGGAAGGAAGGAAGGAAGGAAGGAAGGAAGGAAGGAAGGAAGGAAGGAAGGAAGAGCATAATTATGTCATACCAACAACTTTGGAACATGGCAACCCAAATTTAAAAGATGAATAAGGTGGTAACGATAATTTCTTCGCAGCCAACAGGAAATTCAGATAAGATCCGTGTCTTATGCTGTGTAATTATTATTTTTAGGTGAATTTTCAGAACAACATGAAAAGAAGTAGGAAATAGGTTTTTAAAATGCTGTTACTAACCCATATCCTGGATCCTATCCTTAATGGGCAGCAGTCATTCCACAGCTGTTTTTCAAAAGATTAAAAGCTGAAGAGAGATTTTATCAGAGATAAATTTTCTGATTTATTCAAATCAGAATAAATGTGAGTACTAGGACAAGGCAGAGGGATCACTCCTCACATGGAAAAATAGCAGCTGCTTTTATTCTAAGGATCACACTTTTATTTAGCTGGCTTTGCTTTTCATCAGCTATTTTCCTACTTGTTTTTAGGTTTGGGGGCAGCTTCCACAGAAAATAAGCCAGGATCTGCCGTGACATTTGGTAATTCCCTTCTCACAGAGAAGCAGGCCTCACTGTCATTTCCTGGATCCACCATTTATGAGCTTGTTTGAAGTGCAGTGCCACACAGGGCTCTGGCCTAATTTATTGCCTTCATTTTCCAAGGGGCCATAAGCCACAGGAGGCTGTTGTTCAGCTAATGCCAAGCCTTATATCTCTCCAAAGTGCCTAAATAGCAGCAGGATTTAAAGGTCAAGGTGTGTACCAGTTCAACGTTTGCTAATTAAACGTTATTTTATTAAGCATGGCATTTTATGTAAACATCTGGGACTGAGATGAGTTCTCTCATTGTTCTGCTTTTGATTCGGCTGCATAATCAGCTGGAACTCCTATTCTTTTTTTCTCATATAAAGGAAGAGTATGCTCGAAATTTCTTCCTTCTCTTTCCTCACCTCAGCCAAATGTCAGTCAGATGCCCTTTGAAATACTTTTGAGCTAGTGTTTCTCAACCTCAACAACTTTTGACTTCATGCTGGCTGAGGAATTCTGGGAGTTGAAGTCCACACTTCTTAAAGTTGTTGAAGTTGGGAAACGCTGCTCTAATCCATGTGCATCTCCACACAGTAATTTCTGAGCTTGCTGTATGTCAGAGGCAATTAGATACAAACCTTACTGCATTGGTGAAGTAACTCAGAAAACATAGAATCTTACGCTGGTCTATGACCCAAATAAAGATTTGATTTATTGAAAACACAAGATCAGTCAATCTGGGAGCAAAACTTACTTGCGAATGAGTCATAATATCTGAAAGGTAGGTCAATCAGTGTACAGGTAGTCCTTGACTTATGACAGTTTGTTTAGTGACCATTTGAAATTATAACGGCACTGAAAAAAATGACTTATCACCATTTTTCACCCTTACAACCATTGCAGTTTTGTCATGCAGCTAAAAAATGATTTTTGTCTACTTTGGTTCCTCAGATACTTTTCTAAAGAAAAATAGCAGTTCCTTCCTGCAGCAAAAGATGATTACTGCCATCTCTTTAACTTTTAGATTGGGTTTCATATACTTACTCCTATCACATATAGCTTCTTTTTTTCTCCTGGAAATTTGAGGAGATCATATAATCTTGTGTGGCAACCTAATAAATTCTCTGGAGAACCACAACCTGAAGAAATGACTGTGAGGGACCAGAAGGCTTTTTCCAACAGACCAGAATTTTTTTTCCCAACATTGGCCTGGTTGAGATATGCTTCAGGACTACAGGTTGAGAGCCACTCAACAGAAGATGGAGATTGTCAGAAGAATTTAAACCAGCGGTTCTCAACCTATGGGTCGCGACCCCATTTGGGGTCGATCGACCTCTTTTGTGGGGTCGCCAAACGCGGCGATCCGCCATTTTGTCCCCTCCGGGGGCATTTTGTCTCTCTCTGGGGGGCGCCACCGCGCATGCGCGCCGCGCGTGGGGGCGGCGGCGCGCCTCCGGGGGTGGCGCCGCGCATGCGTGCCGCGCACGGGGGCCCCGCCCCCATGCGCGCTGCACGTGGGGGTGGCGCCGCGCATGCGCGCCGTGCCGCGCATGCGCATAACGTTTGTGTGACGGGGGTCGCCGTCACACAAACGTTGAGAACTGCTGATTTAAACAATATTAAAAGGAGACTCTGAGAAATCCAGGGAGGCTTCTTTTGAGAAAAATGTCCATTAATTTGAGAAGCATCTGGGAAGACCATCACCAGACCCACCTCCATTCACTGAGGAGCAATCAAATGGAATTGAAAAGGGATCTTCTGGGAAACTACTAATTTTCACAATAAAAATAAACAAGCTGATGCTTTGCAAATGGTGGACTAAAAATCCCCCCCTTCATTGCATGTGACAACCGATTGTGGGGATTATACTACAGAACAACTAGAAAACAATCGATTTCCTTTCCCTGTGCAAGAAACTTCTGAACAGTCTGAAAATGGTGCTAATATTTGCTCTTACTTATTGCACAGGGTTTAGTTCAAAGCTCTAGAGCAAACAATTACCCAAAGTGGCAAACCTCATCCTGTCTTCCATCAGAAGTAGGAGCTACAAACTTCAAAAGCGGCTGAGAATAGAAGCTGGAAAATCCGATGAGCCAAGTTTCAGATAAGAAGATTTCATGTGTCTACCTCATGGTAGAGGAAGAGTATCCAGTGGCTTTCCATTTAAAAAGCCAATTTATAAAGCGACTCCTTCAAAGGCATCCTGTGGCGCACCGCTATAGAGCATTTTTCCTCTATAAAAGAGGTCATGGAGATAGTGGTGATAATGTGCCAATGCAGAAGGATAACAATTGAAACCTGAATGTATTTCACTTGCAAAAAATAAAAAAAGGAACTGTACTCTGACATACATACAGTCCCAATTTCCATTGTCCTCCTATTGAAGGTGCTTGAAGGCTTGAAAAGGATGCTGAATCAAGGGGGCCCATTGCTTTCTCACTCACATGCTGATCGGCTGGCATCATGGCTGAGTGATTATTACAATCACTCTGTAGTTTCTAAAGATGACCATATGGATGGTTACACAAGGGCCAGGAGAAGTCCTCACTGATGCCAGCAAGCAATTACCGGTTATATTTTTGTACCTGCACTGAGCTAATGAAAGAAGTTGGGCAATGCAATGAGCCATACAGGAACACAGGAAACTGTCTGCCACTGACTCACCCAGCTCAGAGTTGCCTTGACTGACTAGCAGAGTAGATCTTGACAGATAATCCTTGATTTACGACCACAATTGAGCCCAAAATTTCTGTTGCCAAGCAAGACAATTGTTAGGTGAGTTTTGCCCCATTGTATGATCTTTCTTGTCCAATTGTTAAGTGAATTACTGCAGTTGTTAAGTTAGCAACACAGTTGTTAAGTTAATCTGTTGGCTTTGCTTGTCAGAAGGTCACAAAAGGTGATGACACATGATCTCGGGGGACTGCAATCATCATAAATACAGGCCAAGTGTCCAAATTTTGAGCATGTGACCATGGGGATGCTGCAACAGTCGTGTGAAAATATTTTGTTTCAGACAATAGACTTTCTAACC